CCTTCCTATTCCAAGATCTTTTCTGGTGTCCCTCCTAATTCCTCAGATTTCTCTGCTCATATCTCTCCTGCTTACACTAAGGCCACATCTCTCATCTGGGCTCTTCTCAGACTCTTCTCATACTGTTCCGACAGAACTCTCTTATTCACATAGGATTTACTTGCTTGACATACAAAACCATGGAATTACGTATACCACAACTTACACTAGATAATTATAATAATTTCTTCTCCTATCAAAGAATTCTTGGACATTCTTATTAAAGTCCATCCAAGCATTCCCTTTACCTTTCTTCACAGCTTTCCTACAGTCATTCCCTTCACAATACTCTACCCAAAACCAGCAGTACAAAATTTAATAGGAAGACTGACTTTGCCTTTCAGATAATTCTGCTTATTTGCCATATTCATAGTTCCTTTTCATTTAATTTTCAGTATTCATCACTTATGCTAAAGCCCACGCCCCATTGATGGACCTCTTCTGCATTACAGCTGATTGCAGCAGGAACCATCAAAAATCTATTCCAGAACAACTGCAATTCCCAGAATAAAACCTAAGGGTCTCTATAGTCTTTCAGGACAGGCTGAGATTATATGGGCATGGAATACCCCTAGCTAGCATGGCATGTGTAAAAAGGTCACGCTTAGGCAGGAGGTAAGGAACAGCAGGGAAAACTGAACAGAGGAAAGCTGTGATAGACACAAACTTCAGAGGACAAACATTGAAAGAGTCAGGCTTGGAGTGACAGCAAACAAGGAGCTATATACGTCTTTGTATAAAGATTTTATATATATACAAACATACATATATATACAAAAATATATACACATACATATATAGCACATAGAGTCCTCTTCAGTCCTAGAGTTGATCTGCAGGTTTCTTGGTTATAATATTGCCCTGCCTTTTCAAGTAGCTATGAAACCCACAGCCAACCTGTCTCTCTTGCTTATTTCTCTTAAGGAATAGCAGCCAACTTTACTACTGCTGTTTAGTTGGCCAGTTCGAGGGATAAACATATGCATCATAAGTGTCAAGCATGGAGGACTGCCTGTGTTGAGGTCAGTAGATTCTCACACAATATAATCACCTTTTTTGTAAGAGCACTTTGAAAAAACAAGGCTACCACTCCTCCCCAGAGAATCACCTGGGAAAAGGAAATAAAAATGACAGATATATTTAGTTACCACTGCAAAATTAGAAGTATAAAATTAGCATATTTTAGGATTGCATTTGCCTATGTGACCTTAATTCAGTCCCTCGTGCATATTCATAAGGCTAGACACTCAAATCCTAGCCTCCTTGAAGTCAGTGGAATATTTGCCATGGACTTCAGAGATGCCAGTATTTCACCCACAGTCTTCAGCTACATGCTTCCAAATTTCAGATGCAGATTTTTCCATGAGGTCCTTTCCTCTTTTGTTTACAGAGTTGTCTGAATGCAAGTATTTTTTCCCCCCTATATATGCAGTGTGTGGCCCAGTGCCTTATTTACTGTACACATATAAAGCCTACATTAAAGAGAGGATTTTAAAATCTTCATGGCTGCTTTTCATCACAAAACCTTATCATTCTCCTGAGTCTTATGTATGCTATGAATGCATCTTTAGACTGTTTTGTGAAGCATTTGTATTACCAGTTCTGTTTTGTAGACTAGAACACAAGCCTAGAGAAGTACGAATAGATTTGTCTAATGCCCACTAATTCTAAGCTCTGAACTATAGGTCTGCATAGGTCTGATTTATTCAGAATCCTCAGTGTTGTACAATTAGAGCAAAGTTTCTGTTCATCTTGGCTTCTATTATGAGCTTCCACCATTTCTGCAAATCAAGCTCCATTTATTCCAAGTTTGGCATCCAGGAGACAAACTTCACCTTCAGAAAGTCTGATATAATCACCGAATCTGCCAAAGGATATGGAGCAGAAAACAGAAATCTGTCTGCATTTCCTGGACTCGCTATATAGCATGTGGGGGACAAATGAGATGCCCCAGAGAGCTAAACCCAAAGCTATTCTCTACCCATAGGAAGCTTGAGCCTTCTTGTCCCACCTCACTTATGAGTATCCTGACTACAAACCTACAAACTCTTGGACTAGGGCATAAGAAAATGCAAAGACAATTAAAAAATGCCAGATCAAGATTCACTGCCCCCTGCACAGGTAAAATATGTAATGAAGTCAACAGAAGTGCTGTCAGCCAAATGAAGACCAGGTTTTGCTTGGGCAACAAATATTTGCTGAAACATCACGTGATGTTCGAGTACAGCTATGCATTAGGAATTAAGGATTTACTGATTTAACACTTGACTTGTTCATCCTTCTTAAAGTGTTCCTATGACATCATCTTTGAATGCTCTCATTGATTAACTCTCTCTGCCTCTGTGAGGCATCTTGCCCATGGCTTTTGTGGATTGTTAAATTAAATGAATGGTTTAACGACAAACTGATTTGGATTAATCAATTGACTAAAACAACTGCATGAAGAATGTGTGCACAGAACGGGCTTGAAAGTGGTTTCCAGTAATCAGAAGTCGAGACCTGAAGCTGCCACAGGATGCTGATGATAACAGGGATAACAAATAGCTAATCTTGGAGTTTATCTGGACCCAGGTGCACTCCATTCATATGCAAATGATGTATCAGGAGCAAACGCATTTGTTGACTCAGTTGACTGCAATTGACCATAATGAGTTGAATCTCTTCTGAAAAGCATCATCTGTGTATGTTAACCTGATGCAAAATATTACAGGTCTTGAACTTAAGCCATAAAAAGAAAGAAGCATTGAAAGAGATATTTGTGGGAAAGTGCAGATAAGATTCTAAAAGAGTGGTATTAAATTGCTGAAAGTGTGATGTATGATGAGGTACTCAAGCTACGTACACAATCATTAAGCCTAACTGAGATCTCCCTATGAATTGTCTGCTATTCAGACTTAGGATATCTGTAGCTTTTGCTTACAAAGAGTTGAGAACAGTATTACCTGAAACCCACTATAAAAAAAAAAAAAGGGTTAATTAATGTTATGTCAGGGTCACTAATTCCTTGGGAGTGGACAAAGACAAAACAAGTCTTCATTGTGCAGACTTAAAATATTCATTTATGAGGAACCTTATTCAAAAAATTTGACTTAAAGGTAGCTGTAACTAGTGTGGATATTCCATAATGCAATTTTAATCAGTCATATTTTCCTATATGGCAGAAAAAACTTCCTGTTGCTGAAGGTATTTTTCACAACCTGTTTAAACACATTCCTTAGAAATAAAAAACACAGAGAAACAATGATCTACAATGCTCAATCCAAGGGCCAGAGTGTTAGCCTTGGTACCTGGGCTGTCACCTCTCCAGCTGCCCAGCTCCACAGGGACTCCTGGCAGCTTCTCCTCATACTATGCCTTACAGTCTTCTCCACCCTACAAAGACCAGAGCAGTGTGTGTGATGGGTGCATTCATTGCACAAGTGCCTCATTTCATGGTCATGGAGGGAAAGGGCAATGAGAGCCAAGGGTTACAGCTGCTCCTAAAACAAAGAGATGCTCAGGTTTCCAAAGTGATTCTAAAATGATAAGACCCAAAAAGAATAGGAGGGAGGAGTTCAGACAGTGGAACAGGGCTCTGGGACCCATATGCCAAAGGACCTCCTCAGAAGACAGCACTACCCTACCTTTGGATTTATGTTAATGGACTTAGAAATCTGCATTACCAGCAAACAAACATCTGGTTGAATATTTGCATCAATACTGAACTTGGTATAAGGTAATATACTAAGCTCTCTGTCAAGGATGATTAGTGCAGCTGAAAGCCTGAGGGAACACCTTGCAAAGGTTAGAGTGTACTTGTGGTGACATTTTCAAATGCAAACTCAACAGTTATGCACCCTTCAAAGCTGTGTCTTCCTGCAAACCCTGCAACAGAAGGAGGAGCACATGAAAATCAGGTAATTATAGCCTAGGGGCCCATTATATATGATAATAATTTCCAAATCTGTTTCTGCAGACAACCCTTCTGCAACACCAATGCAGGTTTTGCTGGGCACTATTAATTCATGAATATGTTGTAACTCTGATTGCAAATCCTGAGGTTACTCCTCAACCATTTATCCAGGTAAAATTCCCGTATAAGCCAAGAGAAGGTTTTGTACCAAAAGCTATTAAATAAAGCTGCTCCCCCACGTTTTCTGCTGGAGACCCCACTTTTTGGCCTTTGACTTGTCTCTGTAATATTAGCGTTACTTTTCATTTGAATTTCTGGAGGACTCACAACGCTCATGGAGCTGTCATACAGGGCTCACACCAGTGACTGGCTGCTCCACTACGTCTCTATATTATTTCTCCTCCAACCTAAAAAGTGGGAATATTTTATTTCCTGCACTGCAAAAGATACAGGTGATTTTCTTTTTTATAACTCAAGGAGGACCCTTTGCTAATTCTTACGGACTGCTGTGAAGTCATCAGTGACTGAGTAAATGAAGCTACATTCTAAAATGTATTTTTGGTCATTAATTTTGTCAAGGAAATAATAGTTTAGTTTCCATCGTCACGTACTAGTGAATGAAAATAGCTAGCAAAAAAAAATAGGTCTGATTTCACCACAGAAAAAGAGAAGAGACACTCAAAGAGACTTACTGGGTTTGTAAAAGCTCCTACCTGAGTTTTACCATTCTTTTGAAATGAAGGACAAATCTCTAGACCCAAGCATGGGCATTTTGAATCTGAGTACACACATCAGAACTGAAGACCTTTCATTACACAAACCAATAACTTCCAAAGGCAGGATGAGAGCTGGGATCAAAGACTCTGAATCTCCAGTGCTCATCCAAGACTGAGTAAAGAAAAAGATGTATTCTATGCTTCATTATTTCACTCTGTTTAGATTCCATAGATTAATTTACAAGAACTTCACTCAGAGACACAAAACAGAGAAAAACTAAGATGGAAGCATTAGGGGTCTACTTCAGTTAACATTAATTCCTCACACACATTCTGGATTTTTACATGCTTACCTGTAGTAGCACTGGAGACTGTTGGCCACTGCTGATCAGGCCCTCCTGGTCCTCCACGAAGGACTCCTGCCTCCTCCACATGTACAGCACTGAATAAGCATATATCATAGTTAGATTATACAGTTCCCAACTGCCCTGAGCTTTATAACTATTTCCTTTCTTGCTGCTCTTCAAAGGTCATAACTATTTGTCGGTGTGCAACTACTACTATAGTATTGCAAAATGCTAACAAATTCTGCCGGAGCACAGGAGAACTAGTTACTTTGACCTGATGAAATTATCTTTGATTTTTTAATGAAACACAGTTGTGGCATAATTTATAAAATATACCTGCAGGACATAGCTTTCACTGACTGGAAGTCACTTACAAGGAAGTTACACACCTTCTTTGCTGTTATGATGTATTAGCATTAAAGCAAATAATAAAGAGTTGTTGGAGTTAGTTCTGTCCTTCTGTTATTACGCTACTTTAGCAGATCCCACCTTCCTGGGTTACTTCATGCTTCTTGTGAGCCATTCAGAAAGCAAAATACATTTTTCTCAAATGCAAAATCTAACAAGGAAGGATGCCCCAAAACAGGCTCACAGCTCTGTTATCCTCTGCTCACCTCTGCTGCAGTGAGAAAATTCTGAGTCAGGTGGATGCTGATCCAGTCCTCAGCATTGGCATAGAGCACTCTGTGATAAGAATAATTTTAATTTTTCTGGACCTTGCTTTTTTTCCTTTTAAAACCGGAATAATGATCATTCCCTTTCCGTTGTGTTCCCAGACTCTGTCTGCCCTGCTCATGTAAGTGGTAAGTTCCTTAAGGCAAGGCTTGTCTTTTGCTATTTGTGTCGGCTTTGTGTAGCACCATCTGACCTGAGAGGCACTGCCACACTACAACATTAATAACAGATGCTGAAGCAATGCCCGGTTATAAAAATAAACACATGAAAAATACATTCATGACCCTTGTGTACAGCAAAGTGCTGCACACAGGCAGACATCCATTAGGGGAAGATGTAATATCACATAGTGGTGTGCTCGCCCTCAACCTCTTTTCTCCTTCCATCACTTGCAATACAAACACATTCCACATCAAAATTTCTTAGAATTACTTAGAACCTTCCTTATTTTATACACCTATTTTCTATCAGATAGTGAATTGTATATTGCAAGAGATAACAGGGTTGAAATTTCTCTGGGATCATTAACGTAATAGGTTGTTTTAACATTTACTTGAGTATCTTTTCTTTTAAGAAAATCTAAAGAGAATAAAATTAAGCCCACAGCAGTACAGAAAGACTAAAAATGAGAAAAAAAGAAAGAAAGAAAGAAGGAAAGAAGGAACGAGGGAAAGAGAGAAAGAGAGAAAGAAAGAGAGAAAGAGAAAGACCACACAAAAGGGAGGCACAACAGGGAGAAAATAAAGCAGCTGTAAGCTCATGTGGAAACAATTTGATTACCATCAATTCCCTGAAGTACTGACCAAATAAACACTTGTTTCGCTTATAAGTTCTGACAAGATCATAACACAAGGTAGTACAGCTGTGAGTGAGTGATTTCTCTGTTTATTTATTGAAACCTCTGAGAAAGTAATCGAGATGGGAATCAAAATCCATGTCTTCTGTGTAGCTACAGAATATTACCAGTAGGCATGCAAGGCAAACTCACTGGTATTGTTACCAGGATCACAAAGAAGCACATGCCTAGAGCAATGGACAAGTGAAAAAGCTGCTTAGATTTCAAACCTGGACTTCATTTTATTTACAAAATATTTTCCTAGCAGATGCCTCAGAACCAATCACACTTCTTTTGTAAGAAGCATTGTTTCCCCCCTACCTTTTCGCGCAGTTGCAACAGCATTTGGGGTATGACTAATATCTTGCTGGTAGGTTAATCAGGGTAGGAAACTGATAAACTATCGGGAGTTTTTGGTGTTTGATTCAAAAGAGTTAACAAACTATTTGCCACTACAGACATAACAAAGTTAACCATAATCAAAATCAGGTCCTTTTCAAGAGATGCCACTTTGTTCTTAAAAGGAAGAGTTGAGTGAGTAACAGCTGTCAAATGAGAAACATTTTTTAGGAACAACTGTACCTTCCATTTTGAGGAAGCAAAGAGATTATTGCAGGAAAAAATTAATTAAGTAGAGGAGAAGTTATTGACATTAAACTTTATCCTAGTACCTAAAGATAGACATTATAGCCAGCTAAACTGCTTGTGTAAAATCTCTTACTTTATCACTCCTTAAAATGACAAAGTCTTGAGCTGCAGCAGCTTTTGTTCACAGTTCGAGGACACTCGTTTCATATTACTCAGTCACAGAAAACCATTAGCCTTTTTCTCCCATTACACTTATTTTATGCCAGGTTTTAGAAATTTTGCAGGTTCCCTGTGTTATTAGTATCTCAGCTGAAGCTATCAGTCTTACACGAACCTTCAAGAAACCTGCCTTGGAACAACCACCCCATGTGGAGATCAGAAGTTGGACGTGGTCATCTCCACTTTGGTAAATTCAACATCTGGCTCCAGTCAGGGACAAATGTGTCCCTAATGTAAATGGAAGGGCTGCACATGCCCAGGGACTTGACTGAAAGACAAGATGCACAAACACATTCTGCATTGCCTGGGGCTAATGAGAAAGGTTAATTCCTCTCACACATCTTTGCAGCTGGTGGAATCAAGAATTCTCAACAGTGTCTGAAGACATAAACTCTTTGAAGACCATTCTCTTTCATAGTCAAAGTCTTAGACAAATATATCAAGATAAACCAACCATGGAACTTTGAAATTTCCAGCATTAGCCTTTTTCAAATTCTGATGAGTCCTTTTTTTTTCCTTACACTGAGTCTTCAAGGACTAAGGTACCACACTCTATTAAATCTCTCATCCATGTCATTTAATTTACTTCCTACACTCCACTGAAAAATAATGGATCCCATGATAAAGATCACAAATGCTATTTCAGGTTAGTCATGGGTTTTCTGGACCTAAGAAGAAAATAACTAAATAACAGAAAGTAAATTTAACAGTTGCCAAATCATGACTGCAGTTTCTGTATTATATAATCTTCTTCCCCTCCATTCTTTGCCCACTCAGATGAACAGGAATTTGAACAAACCTATTAATTTACCTAGTCCTGGCTGCAAATACTGAAAGCCCAAACAGCTGGTTCAACTATGGTTTGTATGTGGTGAAGCAGATGAGTTCCTGGTCAGAAGAGTCATCAGCTTTTAAAAAATAATAATCAATATGCCAAGCTGCATCTGCCATTAAAAGGTTTAAGTTTTTTGACATGTTCTTTTGAAAAATCTTTCTGATTTCAAAATGCTTTTTTTCAGCCAAAGTAGCATCTGAAATTCTCATTCCCCTCCAGCTTCCATCAGGCTGTCAGAAATGAGAAGCATTTGTAACGGAAAATTCTTAGCTCAGTGTAAAATATTGAAAAGGTGATGTGTGGCCAAGCCAGTGATCTACATTTCAGCATTCCTGCAATAACAACACTGAAGGGAGACACAGTGGACAGATGAGCAGGAAGAGACCAGAGTCGTTAGCTGAAAGGAATAAACAAGTTTTAAAGGGAAAAAGGGAAGAGAGAGGCACATACTTGGCAGACCAGAGGGGTAACAGGAAAGAGGTAGAAATGGAAGAAACAGAAGTGGAAATCCAGGAGCAGGAAGCACACAGGGAGCATCCTGGAAATAAAGTGTACTGGGAGAAGGGGCAAAACTGAGGACTGTGCATCACATTGAAGGTCTCAGCAACTAGGTGGAATTAACTCAAGAATTTGATGACCAAGGTCAAAACATGAGATAAAAGAAAGGGATTTAGCCTTACATGGTCCTTGCAGATTATTTCTATTTTAGTATAGCGTCACTGCACTGCATCTACATGAGAAAGCTGGCATGATTTCTTTCTCCAGCCTTCACTGAGCTGGTAGAGATACTGCAGCTTTAAATAATGATTTTAGTGTGCTTTATGGGGATGATTTTTTCCATTATTACAAGAGGCTGTGAACCAAATCTCTATGATGCTGTACTATGTAGGCTTAGGAACTAGTTAAACTGCTTATGACCTTCATTTTGGTGGTTTATCAAATCACTGATTTGAAGACTAATTTTCATGAGAAATGTGGCTGGTCTGCATTTTCCCTATTTTCTTATTTAAATATATTATACATATTATCACAGTGTTTCCTTGACTTAGATATGGTTCTTAGGGCTGGTATTTTGATACATAGATATTTCTTGTTTTGAAAGCTGGAATTATGAAATTCCATTGAAAATTGGTTATTAATTAAAATGAATATAAAGGATAGAGATGTGCACAGCTGCATTTTCTAGATCCTTCCATTTTAAACACGTGCAGCATTCCTCAGAAACCAAGATCCCAGTTTTGTGCTGTGGGTTGCTAATTAGTTATTATCTATTATAGCTTTAATCAATAAACTGCTAGAGCTAAGCTAGACCAGCGTTCTCTGCTGTTATTTGTAAATTAACCTTCAACAGTCTCATAGAAGCAGCACTTTCAGCCCCTGCACATTCTTTGCAGTGACTGCTTGACAAGTCCTAATTAGACCCGTTTTCTGTAGATAAGGAAGGTCAGTTGAAGAAGGTGAACAGAAACTCACTGACATTTAGGATGAAATTGTTCTCCATTTACAACCACAGGATAAAGATATATCATATGAAATACATAATACCTGAGGTCTCATAACTCTCAGAGTTATTTTCTTAGGCTCTTTCTCTTTAAACTGAATTTTTAGAAAAATACTTCTGAGGCCAAGAGCTTTGTAACAGCCCTGTGGCCCCTGTGAGCTTTTAATGGAGTGTTATGCCTGCTGCATTTCAAGAACAGTGTCTGTTGCAAGAGTGAGTTAACCTGAAAAAAAATCGCTCATTCCTTCTGTGCTGATGTTAAATGGTTTAAAGACACAGACAGATCAAATGATGATTCCATGAAAAGAACAACTTTTTGTTGTTCTGCAGTGTGGCTTTCTGTCCCCCCTCATCAAAATCAATTACCAAATCTCAGAGTGCCAATCTTCTTTCCAGTGACCTATGCTCAGTAGTCTCTTAAGAGTCTACACTGTGCCACTCCCAATGATACCTGCCTCCTGTAGACCTGCTAGCATCCTTTTCCAATTGCTTCCCTCTGCCAGATCATCTGTGCTCACCTTCCTATTCCAAGATCTTTTCTGGTGTCCCTCCTAATTCCTCAGATTTCTCTGCTCATATCTCTCCTGCTTACACTAAGGCCACATCTCTCATCTGGGCTCTTCTCAGACTCTTCTCATACTGTTCCGACAGAACTCTCTTATTCACATAGGATTTACTTGCTTGACATACAAAACCATGGAATTACGTATACCACAACTTACACTAGGTAATTATAATAATTTCTTCTCCTATCAAAGAATTCTTGGACATTCTTATTAAAGTCCATCCAAGCATTCCCTTTACCTTTCTTCACAGCTTTCCTACAGTCATTCCCTTCACAATACTCTACCCAAAACCAGCAGTACAAAATTTAATAGGAAGACTGACTTTGCCTTTCAGATAATTCTGCTTATTTGCCATATTCATAGTTCCTTTTCATTTAATTTTCAGTATTCATCACTTATGCTAAAGCCCACGCCCCATTGATGGACCTCTTCTGCATTACAGCTGATTGCAGCAGGAACCATCAAAAATCTATTCCAGAACAACTGCAATTCCCAGAATAAAACCTAAGGGTCTCTATAGTCTTTCAGGACAGGCTGAGATTATATGGGCATGGAATACCCCTAGCTAGCATGGCATGTGTAAAAAGGTCACGCTTAGGCAGGAGGTAAGGAACAGCAGGGAAAACTGAACAGAGGAAAGCTGTGATAGACACAAACTTCAGAGGACAAACATTGAAAGAGTCAGGCTTGGAGTGACAGCAAACAAGGAGCTATATACGTCTTTGTATAAAGATTTTATATATATACAAACATACATATATATACAAAAATATATACACATACATATATAGCACATAGAGTCCTCTTCAGTCCTAGAGTTGATCTGCAGGTTTCTTGGTTATAATATTGCCCTGCCTTTTCAAGTAGCTATGAAACCCACAGCCAACCTGTCTCTCTTGCTTATTTCTCTTAAGGAATAGCAGCCAACTTTACTACTGCTGTTTAGTTGGCCAGTTCGAGGGATAAACATATGCATCATAAGTGTCAAGCATGGAGGACTGCCTGTGTTGAGGTCAGTAGATTCTCACACAATATAATCACCTTTTTTGTAAGAGCACTTTGAAAAAACAAGGCTACCACTCCTCCCCAGAGAATCACCTGGGAAAAGGAAATAAAAATGACAGATATATTTAGTTACCACTGCAAAATTAGAAGTATAAAATTAGCATATTTTAGGATTGCATTTGCCTATGTGACCTTAATTCAGTCCCTCGTGCATATTCATAAGGCTAGACACTCAAATCCTAGCCTCCTTGAAGTCAGTGGAATATTTGCCATGGACTTCAGAGATGCCAGTATTTCACCCACAGTCTTCAGCTACATGCTTCCAAATTTCAGATGCAGATTTTTCCATGAGGTCCTTTCCTCTTTTGTTTACAGAGTTGTCTGAATGCAAGTATTTTTTCCCCCCTATATATGCAGTGTGTGGCCCAGTGCCTTATTTACTGTACACATATAAAGCCTACATTAAAGAGAGGATTTTAAAATCTTCATGGCTGCTTTTCATCACAAAACCTTATCATTCTCCTGAGTCTTATGTATGCTATGAATGCATCTTTAGACTGTTTTGTGAAGCATTTGTATTACCAGTTCTGTTTTGTAGACTAGAACACAAGCCTAGAGAAGTACGAATAGATTTGTCTAATGCCCACTAATTCTAAGCTCTGAACTATAGGTCTGCATAGGTCTGATTTATTCAGAATCCTCAGTGTTGTACAATTAGAGCAAAGTTTCTGTTCATCTTGGCTTCTATTATGAGCTTCCACCATTTCTGCAAATCAAGCTCCATTTATTCCAAGTTTGGCATCCAGGAGACAAACTTCACCTTCAGAAAGTCTGATATAATCACCGAATCTGCCAAAGGATATGGAGCAGAAAACAGAAATCTGTCTGCATTTCCTGGACTCGCTATATAGCATGTGGGGGACAAATGAGATGCCCCAGAGAGCTAAACCCAAAGCTATTCTCTACCCATAGGAAGCTTGAGCCTTCTTGTCCCACCTCACTTATGAGTATCCTGACTACAAACCTACAAACTCTTGGACTAGGGCATAAGAAAATGCAAAGACAATTAAAAAATGCCAGATCAAGATTCACTGCCCCCTGCACAGGTAAAATATGTAATGAAGTCAACAGAAGTGCTGTCAGCCAAATGAAGACCAGGTTTTGCTTGGGCAACAAATATTTGCTGAAACATCACGTGATGTTCGAGTACAGCTATGCATTAGGAATTAAGGATTTACTGATTTAACACTTGACTTGTTCATCCTTCTTAAAGTGTTCCTATGACATCATCTTTGAATGCTCTCATTGATTAACTCTCTCTGCCTCTGTGAGGCATCTTGCCCATGGCTTTTGTGGATTGTTAAATTAAATGAATGGTTTAACGACAAACTGATTTGGATTAATCAATTGACTAAAACAACTGCATGAAGAATGTGTGCACAGAACGGGCTTGAAAGTGGTTTCCAGTAATCAGAAGTCGAGACCTGAAGCTGCCACAGGATGCTGATGATAACAGGGATAACAAATAGCTAATCTTGGAGTTTATCTGGACCCAGGTGCACTCCATTCATATGCAAATGATGTATCAGGAGCAAACGCATTTGTTGACTCAGTTGACTGCAATTGACCATAATGAGTTGAATCTCTTCTGAAAAGCATCATCTGTGTATGTTAACCTGATGCAAAATATTACAGGTCTTGAACTTAAGCCATAAAAAGAAAGAAGCATTGAAAGAGATATTTGTGGGAAAGTGCAGATAAGATTCTAAAAGAGTGGTATTAAATTGCTGAAAGTGTGATGTATGATGAGGTACTCAAGCTACGTACACAATCATTAAGCCTAACTGAGATCTCCCTATGAATTGTCTGCTATTCAGACTTAGGATATCTGTAGCTTTTGCTTACAAAGAGTTGAGAACAGTATTACCTGAAACCCACTATAAAAAAAAAAAAAGGGTTAATTAATGTTATGTCAGGGTCACTAATTCCTTGGGAGTGGACAAAGACAAAACAAGTCTTCATTGTGCAGACTTAAAATATTCATTTATGAGGAACCTTATTCAAAAAATTTGACTTAAAGGTAGCTGTAACTAGTGTGGATATTCCATAATGCAATTTTAATCAGTCATATTTTCCTATATGGCAGAAAAAACTTCCTGTTGCTGAAGGTATTTTTCACAACCTGTTTAAACACATTCCTTAGAAATAAAAAACACAGAGAAACAATGATCTACAATGCTCAATCCAAGGGCCAGAGTGTTAGCCTTGGTACCTGGGCTGTCACCTCTCCAGCTGCCCAGCTCCACAGGGACTCCTGGCAGCTTCTCCTCATACTATGCCTTACAGTCTTCTCCACCCTACAAAGACCAGAGCAGTGTGTGTGATGGGTGCATTCATTGCACAAGTGCCTCATTTCATGGTCATGGAGGGAAAGGGCAATGAGAGCCAAGGGTTACAGCTGCTCCTAAAACAAAGAGATGCTCAGGTTTCCAAAGTGATTCTAAAATGATAAGACCCAAAAAGAATAGGAGGGAGGAGTTCAGACAGTGGAACAGGGCTCTGGGACCCATATGCCAAAGGACCTCCTCAGAAGACAGCACTACCCTACCTTTGGATTTATGTTAATGGACTTAGAAATCTGCATTACCAGCAAACAAACATCTGGTTGAATATTTGCATCAATACTGAACTTGGTATAAGGTAATATACTAAGCTCTCTGTCAAGGATGATTAGTGCAGCTGAAAGCCTGAGGGAACACCTTGCAAAGGTTAGAGTGTACTTGTGGTGACATTTTCAAATGCAAACTCAACAGTTATGCACCCTTCAAAGCTGTGTCTTCCTGCAAACCCTGCAACAGAAGGAGGAGCACATGAAAATCAGGTAATTATAGCCTAGGGGCCCATTATATATGATAATAATTTCCAAATCTGTTTCTGCAGACAACCCTTCTGCAACACCAATGCAGGTTTTGCTGGGCACTATTAATTCATGAATATGTTGTAACTCTGATTGCAAATCCTGAGGTTACTCCTCAACCATTTATCCAGGTAAAATTCCCGTATAAGCCAAGAGAAGGTTTTGTACCAAAAGCTATTAAATAAAGCTGCTCCCCCACGTTTTCTGCTGGAGACCCCACTTTTTGGCCTTTGACTTGTCTCTGTAATATTAGCGTTACTTTTCATTTGAATTTCTGGAGGACTCACAACGCTCATGGAGCTGTCATACAGGGCTCACACCAGTGACTGGCTGCTCCACTACGTCTCTATATTATTTCTCCTCCAACCTAAAAAGTGGGAATATTTTATTTCCTGCACTGCAAAAGATACAGGTGATTTTCTTTTTTATAACTCAAGGAGGACCCTTTGCTAATTCTTACGGACTGCTGTGAAGTCATCAGTGACTGAGTAAATGAAGCTACATTCTAAAATGTATTTTTGGTCATTAATTTTGTCAAGGAAATAATAGTTTAGTTTCCATCGTCACGTACTAGTGAATGAAAATAGCTAGCAAAAAAAAATAGGTCTGATTTCACCACAGAAAAAGAGAAGAGACACTCAAAGAGACTTACTGGGTTTGTAAAAGCTCCTACCTGAGTTTTACCATTCTTTTGAAATGAAGGACAAATCTCTAGACCCAAGCATGGGCATTTTGAATCTGAGTACACACATCAGAACTGAAGACCTTTCATTACACAAACCAATAACTTCCAAAGGCAGGATGAGAGCTGGGATCAAAGACTCTGAATCTCCAGTGCTCATCCAAGACTGAGTAAAGAAAAAGATGTATTCTATGCTTCATTATTTCACTCTGTTTAGATTCCATAGATTAATTTACAAGAACTTCACTCAGAGACACAAAACAGAGAAAAACTAAGATGGAAGCATTAGGGGTCTACTTCAGTTAACATTAATTCCTCACACACATTCTGGATTTTTACATGCTTACCTGTAGTAGCACTGGAGACTGTTGGCCACTGCTGATCAGGCCCTCCTGGTCCTCCACGAAGGACTCCTGCCTCCTCCACATGTACAGCACTGAATAAGCATATATCATAGTTAGATTATACAGTTCCCAACTGCCCTGAGCTTTATAACTATTTCCTTTCTTGCTGCTCTTCAAAGGTCATAACTATTTGTCGGTGTGCAACTACTACTATAGTATTGCAAAATGCTAACAAATTCTGCCGGAGCACAGGAGAACTAGTTACTTTGACCTGATGAAATTATCTTTGATTTTTTAATGAAACACAGTTGTGGCATAATTTATAAAATATACCTGCAGGACATAGCTTTCACTGACTGGAAGTCACTTACAAGGAAGTTACACACCTTCTTTGCTGTTATGATGTATTAGCATTAAAGCAAATAATAAAGAGTTGTTGGAGTTAGTTCTGTCCTTCTGTTATTACGCTACTTTAGCAGATCCCACCTTCCTGGGTTACTTCATGCTTCTTGTGAGCCATTCAGAAAGCAAAATACATTTTTCTCAAATGCAAAATCTAACACAGTAAATTTTTTGGTGTCACACTGTGAGCATTTGGCCTTGAAAACACCAATTTGGGTATTAGCCAGCACCTTATATGGAAGAAAAAGAAAAATTCCAGTACTTTTAATGCAGAACTAGGTACATATTTGTGTTCAATTCTTTAGAGAAACAGGATTTTGTGCCTGTGTCCCTGCTTCTGCTCATCTGCTTCTCAGCTCCCTTCCACACTCCCACTTGAACTTAATGAGCAATTTCAACCAAATGTCACAAATGTACCAAATGAGCAATTTCAACCAAATGTCACAAATGTACCAAATTTCTACAAGTTCTATTAAAAATCAGCATTTTATTAAAATCTTCATCTAGGCAGGTCACATAGGCTCAGAACCTGACCTTTCAGGTATGGATGCGGGCTGCCAATGCGAGAGAACAGAACACATAATTTCACAGAAAGGCTTCACTAGCTCCCCTGCTCATGGGATGAATGCTTTAAATGAACTCTGACTTTTCATTAATTGTTCAAGTAACTTCAGGCAAGATCTTGAACTCTGTATAGAAAGGAACATGGATCCCACATGATCTCATTTAAATACACAAGAGCAGACCTGAGCTCAGGTAGGCAAAAGAATTCTGGCTTCAGGATCCCAGTCTCCAGACTGTTTATTCATTTTGCAGTAAGCAGTCGGGGATTTAAAAAAAAAAAAAAATCCAGAAAAAAAAAAACCAGCAAGAATATAAAAGAAAGAAATCAGTTTGCCCAAAACCAATTTGCCCAAAAGGCCACAGAATCAAGTTTGCTCTTTCTTCCTTTCCTTCTGGTCCCTGAGGTTTAGGTTCCTTTTTACACAGCAGCCCAAAGTTTGCTGGAGAGGTACAGTCTGCCTTCACCCACATGAAGCACAGTCAGGATGGACAGTTTGAATCTGGGTTTTGGGCTTCAACTTTATGAAGACTCTTCAGCTCTATGGATAAAAGGGGATGTCTACAGCACCATGGTCCCATGGCACCAACAGTTTGGGGAAAAGCATTACCATCCTGCACTTTATAGTGCCACTAGGAACTACTGCAGCCTTATAGTTGCATCTAAACCTGTAAGATAGTTTCATTAATCATGTCAGACTATACCTGAATATATAATCAGTTTTTAAATCTGCTCAGGAAGGGAGAGCAAATATATTTTATTTAGGCTTTACAAAACCAAATTTATTATAATCCCCCTTTTCCAGGTGTACTGAGTAGCAAATTCTAGCAGAGACTGCTTGTGATGTTAGGCAGAGGACTTTCAAAGATGTCTAAAGAGATTTGGACACAGCCTCACTTTTCCTTCTTTGAAAATCCATCTCATATCTTCAAAATGTCCTTTAAACTGCGTTAATCATCTTGATTGCACCATGTGGTTAATAAACTGACTGCAGGAGCAGCATTCTTTTATAGTAAGGAGACACAAGAAGATGGAAAATGCATCAATGCTGCAGACAACACACTGAAACATATCAGCACAGATGATTACAGGGAGGTTTAAAGTAAACAAAAAGTGTATAATCACTTAAATAATTCAATAATTAGAGCAATTATGCCTTGACAGTCAATGTATAAAAAGGCAGGAGGTTAACACACAATAAAAAAGGACAGATCTATGGTAGAATAGAAATAGCATAAGATGCAGTCAGACCAAATTTGTAACACTTGGAGACTAGAAGTGACAGCAGCAGAACTCAGGTGCTTTCCATCCCAGATATCATCAGTCTGGGACATCAGAGGACACAGACAGCTTTGTCCTTTTCACAGAGGACAAAGACAGAATTCCCCTTCATGTGGGGAAAAAAATTACATACCTTTGCATTCCTGCCCTTAGGGATGCAGAGTAGCGCCAGTCAGGATTGGGGTGTTTTGGCTGTAGAAACAAAAGCCCAGGATAAGGTCGTTAATTTATGTTAGACGTGCTGAAAAGTACATGTATCTGGCTAATTTTGCCAGAGGAGTCTGTATGGAGCTACTCAATTTTTGTAAACATTCAGAACTGCCAAATCCTTCTACAAATCTCAATAAACTTTCAAATGGACACACAGATAATGACTCTGTAATAGAGAAACTAGTCTGCGTCCCAAGGCCTTTGGGTTTTCCTCTGCTGGTGATTTCTCATAGCAGGGAAATGGCTGGACTGAGAGTGGGGGAAAACCCCTTTGCTCTTTTTTGCAATGGGAGAGGTGCAGAGGTGATCTCTGTGGAATGACATTTAATGCTGGAAACTCAAGGACAGTTATTTTGTACATTTATCAATGTTCTGGACATAGGGAATAAAAACATCACAAATCCATAAAACACATTGTTTGATTACCTGGTAAGCTGAGGAAACTCGAACTCCTGCATTGAATAGCATCTGCCCAAGGACATATAAAGTACAGCCCCCTTTGAAGGGGACATGCAGGTCGGTCTGTCTGCTGTGAGGTTTCTGCTGGCATTTAGTGTGCTGCAGAGGACTGCACTGGATAGTATCAGATTTGCAGACTGCAGCAAGTCTTTTATCAAAGGCAGACGTGCTCCTTCATAATATCAAGAACTACTACATTCTCCATATTCATGAGAGGGCAATAAAAGGTGGAAGGGGAAAATAGCTAGCAATACCCTTTGACCAACAAACTTCAGCATATGCTGACCTGAACAAATGGCTTTCTACATAAAGAGATAATGAAGAAATCCTGTTGATCAAAAATTGCTCCAGAAAATCTCTTTTGCATTGTCAGGGGACCATCACATTAATTTTCAACTACAGCGGTGAATGCAAGCTCAGGTCCTTTAAAATTAAGCCCTAAGGACATAACAATGTTTTTCTCAGGATTCTCATGACATTATTCTGTAGATGATACCGCAGCCAGAGCTTAACTTCAGGCACCTTAATTCAAAGAGAGAACTTATGTCCAGAAACATAATGGACTACATTCATTCCTGGTGTGCCTTGTACAGTGCCAAACACACAAATAATATATGACAGTAATGGTTTAATTCTCTTCAAACTATTGGAGACAGATCAAAAATGAATTTAGTTCCATTACTTGAAAGATAAAAGGAAAGTGTTGAATGGTCTGAATTATTTAACACCAACTCTTTCCTCTTGAGGTTTGGTGTATGCTCTTCCTTGGATCAATAGGTTATATTCAAATAAAAATGGTGCAATTACAACTTACACTATCGCTCTATCACCATATTTCCCAGGTCCAGCATCACTCAAGAGTGAGAAGCTCTTGGATGATGTGCATCCTAGAATTCTTTATGGTCTGAGTTACACAAAAGGGAGGAGGCTGCTGTTAGCAACCACACATTAAACATCTGTGTTAGCAATTTCCTTCCCATTTAGTCCCCTGTTCTCTGGCATGTTCAGGTTCTGCTGAGTTTAGCAGAAAGTGGCTTGACAAGGAGCCCGTTATGCACAGTTCCAGTATTTTCTGATTCATTCCATTCTGGCCCCAGTCCCAGTGATGTCAAAGCAACTCTGAAGTCAACCATGTAACAACAGTCAACAAAAGAGGGTACAAAATAATACACACTGATCAGACCCCCTCCTGAGTTCACCTCTCTTGATGCATGAAGGATGCTGACACCAGATTTGACTTTTCCTCTGCTGGGGATTTTCTTATAGCAGGGGAACTGCCAGGCTATGGGTAGGGGGAAAGCCCCTTTGCTCTTTTTCTGCAGTTTGAGAGGTGCAGGTTACTACTCTGTACAGGCTTATAGGCAGTGTGAGGACGAGACATCTTACCACTGTCCCAGGCAAAAGACAGATGAAGTTACGTCAAAGAGCTGGAAAAGTCTGACACGACTTGAGTAGGAGTGGGAAAACAGGAAAACGGCCACTTGCTCACATTATATAGACTTTTGGTTTTCAGATGAGAGCTTTCCAGCTCTTGGCTAGAAGACAAAAATCTATGTTCTATTGCAGTAGGAAGTTTCAGACACGAAATCATAAATAGGTGATAATGGCAAGAGAAACTCATCAGTTAGAAATTCATCATTCATTCACTCCACATGCATGGACAAACTTCCACCTTGTCAATATAACAGAAACAGCAGCAATTAGGAGATTACGGTATTTCCAAAGGTTACTATCAAGAAGCTGTGGCATCTTGCAGCTACTCTCAGTTTTATGTTTGCTATTACTCTTTAGGCAGGGCTGCAGTGCTGCTCCCAGACAGGCAGAAGAAGGAAGGAGGGGGCAGGATCAGAAAAATGTACTCTTGAGATGGAAAGATCTATTGCCACAGTTGACTTTCAGACACATTCAAGGATGTTTTTTTTTATTTTTAACTGAAAAATTCAGTGTCTGGAACTTCACTACTTTTTGAAGTCTTCACAGGAAAAACAGGAGGAGCAGGCAGTTGGGCAGCAGCCTGCCTTTCTCCAGACCTATTCTCACTCAGTTTTACTGTGTGCACTGCCTGACTGGGAACTTTCAGACCTCAGCAAGAGACACGTGCTTGTCCCACACTTGTATTATCACAGGTCAGCATCCCGCAACTGACAAAATCGGTGAAATCCCAATTTTGTCAGTGTAACTGGCTTCTCCTTTTTGTTCTGTACAGCCTGTAACACTTTAAGATCCTTCATAAGAAAAAGCTGTTTCAATACACCTTTAAATGAGATTGGACAATTAAGAGAAAAAAAAAAAAAAAAGCAAAAAAGCATGAGTGGTAATAGAAGTGACAGCACAGTTGAAGAGGGAAACCTATTCAGTAATATCATCCCCCAGCTCAGATGCAGCAATACTCCTTCATATAGATCCATCAGGCATTCACAGTCTGTGTGTTTGGGTTGGCTGATATCTCTGGCTATGAACAACCCACCTCTACCAGCCCACCCACTGAAACCCATCACCTGTGCTGTCACACAGCACACAATCACTGTGTTGTGACATGATATGGCCCATCTCAAAGTAGAGCAGTGCCTTCACCACTGTCCCAGGGGCCAGGAGCCTGCACAAGAGCTGTCAATTGGCTCCTCTGCAAAGTCCAGTCACAGGCTTTCCTGTGAGAAGAGTAACTGTGTCATCAATCAACACCACCAGGACAAGGTACAGCTGGCCAGCATGAGTACAGAGGGGAAGCACAAAGAGGAACACAGACTCTGAAGTAGTCCAGATGCTTCCCAGTTGCACATCCCCGTATTCTCACTATGTCACACAATGCTGACGAAGATATCATTGTTCCTTTTACGTCCCCAGCTCCCAAGTCATTACAAGATCCTGTTTAGCACACACCAGCCCGTTTTACTAACTTTACAGTAATCTTAGTTTACGATTTCCCTCAGAGATTTTTGGAGGCTATGTATCAAGTCCAGTGGTCCTGTACTTACCCCTCATCTGTGGAGGTGAAGAAAATCACACAACCCAGAACAGAAGAAGTCAAACATGCCCTGTTTCTCCCATCACCTGCTTCTTCTGATTTAGTAACAGCACACCTCATCATATTTGTGAAAGGAGTTAAAATCTACCCAGGTGCCTATAGAAGTGGTTGTCACTGCATCAGATCAACACCTCATGCCAACAGTTTGCTCCTACTGATTCTTCCAGGCACTAGGGTTACAGTCTGCTAACTGCAAGAATTAATGTCACTAGTCATAAACAACCAACCCTATTTGAAAGTCTAATAAACAAAGTGAATGTATAATACAAAATGGAGTGACATTAGTAGCTTAGTAGCAAAAAAGTTCATGCAAAATTTCACTTTTTTTTTCACATTGCACAACATGGGTTAGTTTAAGAATCATTTCACTGTTTCATGGAGAAAAAAATTAAAAACACATTGTTACAAATATTTTGCTCAGTCCTCTTTTTAACTAGTACTTAAACACAGTAAGATTTGTTCCTGGGAGAGAAGGAATTCCTAAAATCACTTAATGTTGTCCTGATCCCATATTCACAAAAATCAGTGCAAAGCCTGCTATTGACTTCAGGGGGGTGTTAGAACAGGGCTTGCTTGAGGTAGGGAAGTGTGAATCAAACATTTACAAACAATTATCAGATGATGAGACTACTAAAAGTATCCCAGTCCATTCCTATTTCCACACAAGCGCATGACAGAATGACATAAGGTATGTTTATCAAATATATCTGCTTTGAAGCAGTAATAAAAGGCCTTTTAAAACCCCTGACCACATACAGCTCTGCTTATTTTCCAGTGACACGATGCTGACAGATGTGGGAAAACAGAGGCTTCTACTCCTGCTTTCCTTCTGTAAATGTTTAGAATTAATTTGATGTGGAAAATAAACTATTTATAGTCTGAACATGTATTTATCATACAAGAAATCAGAATGGAAACTGGAAAAGGGCGTAATTAGAAGCCCTAAGATTCTCTTCCTGTCAGTGTTCATTTGCATTCCTTACTCTAAGAAAACTAAGGTGAATGGAACAGGCAAGTGCTCCTGTAAAGTGTATTTAATGACTTCCAAGAGAAGAAAAACTTGTCTGCTTAATATTGGATGCAAATTTCTGCTGGCACAGCAGTAAGCATCAAACCAAGAGTCTGACTGCCCCGAAGCACAGAGCACTGTCCCTGCTTAGCAGAACAGGATCAGATACTGCCCCTGAATAAAAGAACAAACATTTATAGTTAACCTTTACAATGTCAGTGAGGCTGGAGAATTTCTTAAAGGCTTAAGTTCTTGAACTGAGATTGTAAGATATTCCACCATTAATACCTTCAAAGCCTCTGTGAGAAATCTCTTGGAAAGACTGCTCCAGACAATGCTCTGGGTTTACTAGATTTAGACAGTTCAAAACATGCTTGTGTTTTAAAGTGGTATCAAGATGTGTTCAACTCAATTGTTTGGGTTTTTTTCCATGTGTTTAGCAAGCTGGTTTTGAAGTACAAAATACAGAGGAAGAGCCAGAAGCAGAGC